CATTTCTTTATCGAGTAAATTAGTTTTTACTCTTTTTTTTCCTTTGTTATGATGCTTTGAGAAACATGCAAATTTATTCTACCGCATGTGTCGTTCAATCTTCTCTTCTTGTTTCTTGTTGATAAGTGATTTCAATGATCTACTTGGTCAAAAATCTTGTGGTTTGTAGGTATAATTGTGTTCTCTTAGCGGAAATAGGGGTTGTTTGTTTTTTAGAGCCATTTAAGCTTTCCACCATGTAAGGGAAGCTAATAATTTCTTTATTTTTGAATTAAGAAGTATGAATTGTGGTTGCTAGGTTGCAAGGTTGATGTTCAATTGATTTTGTTATAATTTGAAATGGTTATTTAATGGTAATTGTGTTTTGATGAGTGTGTTTGGCTAATTGATGCATGATGTCATGAATGATTGTGAATTGGTACTTGTATGATCTTTTGAATCCTGCTATTTATGGGCGTAAATTGTATAAAACTGATGTGGTATTGGAAAGTAGAGAATATATTAAGTTATAGGTTGGTTTTTTGTCTAAAATGGGGGGTTTTGTTAGACGAGAATTTGAGGTAATAGTCAAACGGGAGAAATTGAGTTCTTAGGTCTATTTTAGGGTCATGTAAAACACTCAAAGACTTTTAGTTAATTAAAAATATGTTATTGAGTTGGTAAGTCAATTAGTTGAGTTTTTTATTTGTTTTAGAGGTTTTAATAGGTAAAAATATAAAGGAGTAGGTCTGTGTTAAAACTGAAGGTTTGAGATTTGTTTTTAAGTCAATTGTGACTTGTTTAGACCCTTAGTTTGCTAAATTCTGATTTCTATGGTGTAGAATTGGTTATAGTGGTTGGGTTGGTTTAGTGCATCTTGTTTCTAACCAAATGAGCAATGTGGTATTCCATTTCACCTATAAACATGCTTTCGTATCAATCCTAGTGTTAAAGAACCCAAATTGGTCATTTGGATAGGTCCGAGGTGCACCAACATCAGAAAAATAGGTTGTTGTCATCTATTATGGCGTTGAGTGGCTTTGAGTGAAGCTCAACGTTGGCAAACCATAGAGCTCACTATTGTTTAAGTGCTGAGCGCTCCCTTAAGGCGTTAAGTGGTGCAAAATATGAAAGAAAATGCTTTTGGCACGCTGAGCGCCAATCTTCCAATGGTGTTGGCGTTGGGCGCTTTGTTGTTGGTTTTGGTTGTGCCTTATGTTCTTTCGTTTCATGTTGAGTTTTAACTGTTTTTTTAGTACTTTGATGAATGTTTAGTAATATTTATGGACTTGTATGATGAGGTTTACGTGAGGTCATAATATAGATAAATGAGATTGGAAAAGAATTATAAGGATGAAATTTTTAATGGTTGTTTCAAGTATTGTATGTATGAATGTAGGAGTTCAGTCTTGGGAATTATCCTAACACTCTAATTGTCACTCATTCTCAAGTAGAGAGGGGTGAGACATATGGTGAGAGTAGTAGAAGGTTTTAGTCTAGGGGCTTTATCTTCGCCTAAGACGCGGAACAAACTAATCTTGTGTGTGTGTGGTAGGGTGAAACCCATTGGCAATGACTTTATAGAACAGTAGAGACCACTATAAGTGCATGACCCACCATAGCTCGACATCCATACATGTATCTGGATGGTCAAGTCTAGGTCTTAATGATATGCTTAAGATGTTTGTTTGATATTGGATAAAATGTAATGTATGATGTTTTGTGAAACTCCATGTTTAATTCTTTTAACATTACCTTACCTTTTTGTGTTTCTTTGATTGTTGTTTGCTTGTGTTTGTTTTTTTTTTTTTTGCAATAATCACCTGATTAGTATGAATAGAGGGAGACGATATTTCAGTAAAGTAGAGACACTGAGAAGAGATAGTGCAAGCATGTAGTTAGGCCTAAAATAATTAGTTTATTTTGAAAGACTTATTTTTTTAGATTTTATTATATAAAATTTTACTATTAGTTATTTTTGGATAATTGTGAAAATAATTTATTTTCACTTCTACCGTTTATATTTTATTGATTTGATGATGTTTTTTAGACAATGTGTTTAAACTACTTAAATAAGATGCTACATAAATATTCAATCTAAAATATATATAAAAAAATAAATTATAGATGATAGGTTTAGGAATTTAGATGTTACATAAATATTCAATCTAATATATATATATATATATATATATATATATATATATATATATATATATA